TTCCAGCAACATACAATACAGCAAACAGTACCAGCCGACCCCACCCCCTTTACTCACGTCTTCTTCCTCAATACAACGAGCAGAACCCAGAAAAATCGTGAGCCAGCCCAACGACCTGCAAACCCAGAACCTCAAATCGACCCGAAGTCGCGATCCAGTCCAGAAAAATTGGGCCACCCCGTGGCCCTCTCCTCTCTCCTTATCGTCTCTGTACAAGAACGTGGGAGAATATCCAGGTGGAGCAATCTCCTTCCGAGTTCGCCCTTGCTCAAAAAATCAACGTTCCTCCTTATCAATCCGTTTGAAATGGTATGAATTGCAGCTTTTAACCCTTGTTCTCTAAAAAAAATTCGAATTTCAAATTCGAAATCCATCCAAAAATTCCACCCGGATTTCCCCCCTTTTTTCGAACCCTAGATTTCCTCTATTTAAACCTCCTTTCATCTTCATTGTGAGGGTTAGAAAAGTTGGCCCAAAAAAAAAAACTTACAACACATAAGAGGAACAACTTATAAGATTTTAGAACAAAGTAGAGAATATATACAAAATATGCTCAAAGTAGGAGAAGAGGCTAGTTTTGATTCTTGGTTTTATTCCTTTAGTCGTTCATCACTCTCCAGAATCTATTGAGACTTGAAGTTGGTGGTGAAGTCGCTATTAAACTCGTCTCGTCTCAACCCGCTGCACTTCAAAAGGTAGACTTCATTTCAATTCCGACTTTATAGTTGATGTGCTGTTTTGATGAGCTAAAGCTTGTTTGTTAATTTATTTATCTTCCTTTCTCGACTGCCATTATTCTTCTCGGTTCATTGCTTATGTAGTAGCCGAGTGATTGAGTGGAGTTGGTGTTTTGGCTGCTTGAGGCATAAGGCGTGCTCTTGTGAATGTTGTTGTTTTCGTGAGTATTAGAGGTAGAATCTTAAGCTAGTCGATGTGGAGTTTGTATGTTGCATTATTTATTGCTTATTGGAGGCAGTAGCCTGTTCTTCCTCCATTTTTTTTAATCCTTGATTTGTTAGTCTCATTATCATCTTGTTGCTAGACTTATGTCTTATAAATATGCTAAAACATGTCTATCCTTTCGCACGTTCCTTCATTAATTTGCAGGTGTTAAAATCCCTTCATTGTTTATATCTGAAAATTATGTGAATTTGTGTCTTATCTTATTAATATTATTTTGATTGATTTGTGCATGTTAAAGCATTTAGGTTCATTTTTGTATCACATAAGTTATTTTCTATCTTGCTTAACTGCATGAGAGCATAAGGTGTTTACCTTTACCTCATTATTTGGAGTTCCCTGTTGGTTAAGAAGGAAAAGATTGTTTATGTGTATTACTTTGTCAAGATAAGTTAAATGTTGTTTATTAGCAGACTGTTTCTATGATTTTAGTTTTTTCTATTAGCCTCATATGTCCCGTTTTGAAGTGTAGTTACATCATTTCATGTGATGTGAAACATGTTTTGACCCATTTATTTTCTATTACTTATTATCACTAGAATATTTGCTCTTTTAATTGTTTGTTGTTGATTTACTGTTGGGTGTGATAGGTTTATTCAAAGCCACATGACCACTAGTTGATCATGGCTTAATTATTTCAAATTGGAAATTTTAGGATGGGGCATTAATTTATCTATTGCCGAAATTTTGTATTTGCTCAATTCTGACTATAGGCTTAGTCGTTTAAGGTTATTGAAATATCATAGATGTGGATTTAGGGTCCTTTTTGTGATACCCCTTGTCTTTTTATAGTGTTTAAAATTGAAGTGCGGTGGTATATAAGTTCAATTTACTTGGCACTTTCTTATATTAAATCATGATTCATTATTTATTTATTCTCGTTCTTTGTCTTGCATCTGAAATCTGCCCGAGATCACCACGAACTCCTATATCCTTCCTATTGCATTTCGAGAGAGCCGTAAAGGCTCAAATTCCTTTTCCGAGTCAGTCAGCCATTAAAACTGGCGAACAGGTCATTTTGGAAGAAGAACAGGTCCTTCAAAATTTGGCGAACAGGGATTAGAGCTGATACAAATTTCTATACACTAGGTGTATACGAAAAATGAAAAAGGAGGCTTAAAAGGCCCATCCGTTATGTTGCAAATTGTATTTTGTTACTTTTTGGGCCCAAGCCCACTTATCTATTGTCTTGCTAGAATTTAGGACAGGTGAAAAAATTGAGCCTAAGGCCCAAACAATATTTTATTTTCTGTTAGTTTAGGACAGGTGCAGATGACTCGAATGTGCCAAAGGCCCAAAACGAAAATGGGCCCATATACTGGCCCAGGCGGACAGGAAAACCAGATTTGGGCCCAAATCTCTTTCCCTCCTTTCCTTGTTGTGTTTGTTTACTCGTTATTACCTGTTATTAATCTTAAAGTAAAAAAATTCAAATCCCCAAAAGACACCCATTCTGAATTAATCACTTAACCAAATTATTCGTCTTTCACCTGACTTAATAAATAAATAAATAAATAAGTTTACAAAATACTTTACTTAAATAATATTTCAATATTTTTCTATTTCTCCCTTAAAATGGTCCTAACTATATAAAAATAAGTTCATTTTTGCAATTCAAGTTAAGTCAAATAAATTTAGCCAAATAGTTAATTACTAGATAACCGCGTGTTAGCGGGTATTTCGGGTGCTTTCAAACCCTTCCCGAAATGCTAATAAGAACCCTGAACCCTTTTTTAAGTTTTTCATTAGATTTTTGTTTTAGTCTTTTGAAAATAATAGTTTTCTTGATTTTTCTTAAAAATTAAGTGGTGACTCTAAACCAGTCTAGTAATATTTTTTTTAATAAAACAGTGTCTCTCGTGGAGCCACAAAGGGGGGTGAAAATGGAGGTGGCAAGCTGTCTCCACAAAGGTTGCAAGAAAGGTGAATGCCTCAAGTAATTTTTCCTGCCAATATTGCAAGGATGAGAGGAGTGGTTCCACACCGATCACATAACTCGTGCATCTTCTAGGTGTTTAGGCTCATTCGGAAACATGAAAATAAAAAATATTGAAGCCATCGGGGCCAACTGCACGAAGTTTTCAATTTTTCTTGGTTGATCTACTTCCGATAATACACGTAGTAAGTACATGACTCTTCAATATGGCATGACAAACATGAGTAGCACCACAGCAATCTTGTTCGACATGGCGGTGCCAGTAACACGAAGCTTTGAATTGCGGCCAAATTGGATCTTGAACGTCAATCTCCCATGTTTAAGAAACATGACAATGCATAAATAAAGATGCAGCCACAACCATTACCTGCAAGAAAGAGAAAAAAGAAAATCTAAACGACATAAATCTGTGAGGAAAACGGCAAGGTTTTAAAACCAATTTTAGAAAAAACAATTCCCGATAATACGGAAGGTTTTTTATATTGATTTTTGGATATGTCGTAGTACTAAAGGTCTAGTTTCTCCAGAAACGAGATTCTCGTCATTTGAATGCTCCTACACCAAGAAAAAAGTGTTTTAGCGAGATTGCGCATAACTGCGAAGAGAACTTCCAGATTTGGAGACCAACTTCAAAAATCAATTCCCGTCAATGCAAAAATTTTTTGATGTTGATTTTCGGATATGTCGTAGTACTGAAAGTTTAGTTTCTCTAGAATCAAGACGCTCGTCGTTTGAATGCTCCTACACCGAGAAAGGGACGTTTTGGCGAGATTGCGCATAACTGTAAGGAGAACTTCCAGATTTGATGACAAACTTCAAAAATCAATTTCTGTCAATACAGAAGGTTTTTGATGTTGATTTTTGGATATGTCGTAGTACTAAAAGTTGAGTTTCTCTAGAATCAAGTCGCTTGTCGTTTGAGTGCTCCTACACCGAGAAAGGAACGTTTTGACGAGATTGCACATAACTGTGAGGAGAACTTCCAGATTTGGAGACCAACTTCAAAAATCAATTCCCGTCAATACAAAAGGTTTTTGATGTTGATTTTTGGATATGTCGTAATACTATAAGTCTAGTTTCTCCAGAATCAAGCCACTCATCGTTTGAATTCTTTTACACCAAGAAAAGAACATTTTGGCGGGACTGCACGAAATTGAGAATAGAACACACCAAATTTGGAGTTCCACATTGATTTGGTTAGGAGAATTATTTTTTCCAATGATTCTCTGATCAATCATTTGTATATGGAAGATTATTATATAGAAGTTCCTTTGAACAATTTTCATTTCTTGTACAAGGAATGCTTTGGTAAAATTGGAAGAAGGAAATCATATCAATTCTTATCCATCTAAATTGAAGTTGCTGATGCTTTCTCTCTCGGTGCAAGTTAGCATAACCTGCGCCTACCATGGGTAAGAGAGTTCGTATACCATCTCAGAAGGCGATAATGGCAAAGGAAGCACAAATCATGAAAGGAATGTCTCAGCGGGGTCAAAATTCAGGTCAGGCAGGGGGAAATAATGTAGATTCTAGTAGGAAAGTAGTTGTTTCATGCATGAAGTCAGCTGAGTCTAAAGGAGAAGAAGACTCACTGTTACGAACTACAGATCCGATGTCCATGCAGCTAAGGAACAGAGCTAAAGTTACAAGTGAGGTGCAAATCGAGAATTTACAAGAGGAAGCCAATGGAACAGTGATAGGAACTAAGGAACAAGTAATAGAAAAACAAGCTCAAGCTATGGGAATTTGGACTGAGATTATGCAATCCTCAAAAGGTGGAAGTCAAGTTGAATCAAGCAGTAGCAAACAATCGTGGGCAGATGAAGTAGAGGAGGAAGTAGCTTCAAAAGGTAGACATAAATTGATATGGGATGACTTTGATATAGCAAAATTATCGAATGCAGGGTACAAGTTGGAGTATGTAGCTCCCTCAAAAGATGGAGAAGAATAGTTGGTGGAGATTGAGCTGGATGATATCAGATCTGAGATCAAATTTTGGGGGAATGCAGTAGTCTGTTATGTGCTTGGAGCGTATCCTCCTTTCCAAGTAATACAGGGTTATATTCAACGTCTATGGGGGAAGTATAGAATTGATAAGGTGGCCATGATGAAGAATGGGGTGGTAGTGGTGCGATTTGCAACAGAGATAGGGAAGCAAGAGGTGCTACAAGGTGGAATCTACCATTTTGACAATAAGCCATTCATTGTTAAAGAATGGACACCGGAATTAGAGTTCACAAGGGAGGAACTACAAATTGTGCCTATTTGGATTAAATTGACAGGTTTAGATTTCAAATACTGGAGCATGAAAGGGTTGAGTAAGATTGGTAGCTTGGTAGGGAGATCCTTAATGGTAGATCATAATACTGAAGAGAGAAATGGATTAAACTTTGCCCGACTACTTGTTGAGGTTGAGCTGGGAGCACAACTACCAGATGAGGTGAGATTCAAGAATGAGAAAGGGAGGCTGATTGAACAGCCAGTACAATATGATTGGAAGCCTTCACTCTGTAAGTTTTGTACTAAATATGGACATATAGAGGAGGAATGCAGATTGAAAAAGAAAATACCAAGACCTGGTCAGATAAAAAAGGTAGATGGGGTGATGAAAGGTTTAAACAAGCAGAAACAACCAAAAGTGGGGGATATACAGCCAAGGCAGATGGGGGTAGTGATACAACAACAATCTGAGGATAAAGAGGGATCTAACAAAAGAGAGGGATGGCAAACACCAGTTAGAATGGGAAAGACTCCAGGACAAAATTCTCCAATCGTGAGTGCAAACTCTTTCCAAATATTGCAGAAGAGGAATGAATATGAAGGCAATAAAGGTAATGTGGGAGGACAAACTATTGTAAGGTCTGGGGATGGTTAATTTACTGAGTTGGAATGTGAGAGGGCCGAATTCCCCTACTAAGCAAAAGGAAGTTAAACTCCTTTGCAATGAAGAAGAGGTGAGTTTGATTGGCTTGCTGGAAACAAAAATAAAAAGTGGAAGAATAGAAAAGTTGGCTGAAAATATGTTTGTAGGATGGCAGTACATCACCAATTTGGAATACCATTATAATGGAAGGATATGGATAACTTGGAGGCCTGACTACTATCAAGTTAAACCAATAAGCAAGAATGCTCAACAAGTAACTTGTGAGGTAATGTTCATACCTCTGCAAATTTCTTTTGAGATTTCCTATGTATATGCTTTCAATAATAGAGAAGAAAGGCAAGAGTTGTGGGAAAGTTTATTGGTGCAAAGTAGAAGATGTTCAAAACCATGGATGGTGATAGGTGATTTTAATTCAATATTGAAAGCTGATGACAGAATAGGAGGGAACCTGTTACTTGGTCAGAAATAGTAGATTTTAATGATTGTGTGACAACTTCTGGTTTGCTAGAATTTCCTACTCAGGGGAATAGGTATACATGGAATGATAAACATGATGGACATAGGATCTTCTCAAACATAGACTGGATTTTCATGAATAATGAATGGCTGGATAAAATGCCTTCTTGTAGAGCATTGTTTTTGCCAGAAGGTATAAGTGACCACTGCCCTGCTAGAGTGACACTCAGTGAAATTTGTAAGACTAGGAAAGCATTTCAGTTTTGTAATGTATGGACAAAACATCCACAATTCCAAGCTACTGTACAAGAAGGATGGAATGAAGGCATTGAAGGGTGTATGATGTTTCAGGTTGTGAGAAGACTCAAGCTGTTAAAAAAGAAGTTGAGGAAGTTACACTCACAAGCATTCCGGGACATAGTAAGTGAAGCAAAAGAGGACAGGGAAGCACTTAAGCTAGCACAAAAACTGTTACAAACTTGTCCAAACAATACAGAATTCCAGCAAGGAGAAAACATGGCCTATCAGAAGTTTAGGAAGTCTTCCTATTTGGCTGAAGTATTTCTACAACAAATAAGTAAAGCAACATGGATAAGGCTAGGAGATGATAATACAAGGTATTTTTATTCAGTCATAAAGTATAGGAAGCTGAAGCAAGTCACCAATCAATTGAAGAACACTGAAGGGGTTTGGCAAACTGACCCTGCAGTAATTGCTAAACTGTTTGTGGAGTATTATGAGGATATCTTAGGAACTGTAACTAAACACAGAGTTAAAGCACATGCATTAATCAACCAAGGGAATGTACTTAGTGAGGAGCAGACTGGTAGACATTTTTTATCAAAAGGAGGTGAAAAAGGCTATATTCCAGATTGATAGTAATAAGTACCCTGGGCTAGATGGTTTTGGGAGTGGATTCTATAAAGCAGCACGGTCTATTGTAGGACAGGATGTCACCATTGCAATGTTGGATTTTTTTAGGAACGACAAATTATTGAGACAAATTAACTCCACAAGTATTGCTTTTATTCCAAAGATTGATGTACCAGAATTTGCTAGTCAATTCAGGCCAATATCTTGCTGTAATGTGATCTACAAGTGTATTTCCAAACTAATCTGCAGTAGATTAAAAATTGCAATTAGTTATATAGTGGCAGAAAACCAATCAGCTTTTGTACAGGGTCGATCAATGATGCATAATGTGTTGATATGTCATGATATCTTGAGACATTACAATAGAAAGAATGTATCTCCTAGATGTCTTATGAAAATAGATCTAAGGAAATCTTATGATATGGTAAGTTGGGATTTTCTTGAAGAGGTGTTAGCTGGATTTGGATTTCCTGATAAGTTCATCAAATGGATCATGACATGTGTATCCACTACCATGTTCTCAGTGAAAGTTAATGGGGAAAATCATGGTTACTTTGAGGGGAGGAGAGGTTTGAGGCAGGGAGACCCTATGTCCCCTTTGCTATTTGTCTTAGTGATGGAATACATATCTAGAACATTACAGAACATGAGTATGTTACCAGATTTTAGGTATCATCCCATGTGTAAGAAAGTGAAGCTCACTCACCTGATTTTTGCTGATGATTTAATGATCTTTTGTAAAGGAAATTTGAACTTAGTGAATAGAGTAATTGAGGCCTTAACTCATTTTAGTGTTGCCACTGGATTGGAGGCAAACCTGGAGAAGTCAAGTGTATTCCTAGCTGGGGTGGATGAAGATACACAAAATCAGATTCTAGCAAGAACTGGTTTTTCAGTTGGTTGATACAAGAACTCAGATTCTTGAAAGAACTGGTTTTTCAGTTGGCAAATTCCCTATTAAATATCTTGGTCTTTCTATCTCCTAAGAAGTGGACACAAATAGAATGTTGGTCCCTGATTGCCAAGATTACACAGAGGATTAAAGTTACATACTCTAAACAACTTTCATATGCTGGTAGACTACAAGTGATCAATGCAGTCCTATTCTCCATACATAGCTTCTGGGGGGCAGTATTCATCCTCCCCCAAAGTGTACTTAAAGAAATTGATAAGATATGCAGGGCCTATTTGTGAGGTAATTCTGATGAAACAAAGAAGAAGGTAGCTTTGGTATCGTGGGAGAAGT